AAATAGGTCAAATTTGACCAATGAGGACTTAGGTTGACCACGTCAAAGATTGACCTGGTCAACTTGGTCAAATAGGTTCAAGGGGTGGGGATGAGCCTAAGATGGCTTGGAATGGATTTAAAATTGAATTAAGCTCATCTAGTTAATTGGGTCAAAATGAGTTGACCTGGTCAACCAGGTTGACCCAGGGCATAGGTCTGGGCCTAATAGGTTGGGTTTGACCCACTGAACTCAAGGAAGGTGTGAGATTGAGCCAAGGAGGTTTTGGAAGTGATTTGAAATCAAATGAAAGGGATTTTGGTCAATTGGGTCAACTTGGGTTGACTTAGTCAACCAAGTTGACCCAGGGCCTAGGACTAGGCACAACAGACCTGGTTTGAACCACTGAATCCAAGGGAGGTTGTCATGGGGCCTAACTTGGTCAATTTGACCAAGTCAAACTCTTTGACCAAAGGATTAGCAGAAATCAAGGTCAACATTGGCCTGAGTGATTCAATGTGAATAATCTCAATCAAGATTGAAGGTGCACCAAAACAAATACTTTTTCCATTCTACAAAATCATTGAAGACACAAAACACTAATACAATACAAGCAAAAAAATAACGATTGAACTATTAACCTTTGACAAATACAAAATAAATTACTAATATAACAACTATCGTCCTCTAAAACAGTCCATACATTCTACTTCAACACCATAAAATACTAGCCAAAATAAAGTCGGATTGTAATGTCGATAAGAACAACGTAACAAAAATTTTAATCATCAGGAGAATCAGGTCAAGCTTCTTAGAAGTCCTTGTGTCGAAGGCCTTAAATTCATAATATGTGACATAGCATGGATTTTCTTGTTCATCAACCTATTTAATGTAACTGCAATCATCATCACTTCGATTATAAATACATCTATAAAATTGTCTTCCACTATTTGGTCCTCAATAGCATATATACAAAACACATTTGAGGAGAAAATGACAATATGCTTGGTATTGTTGCCAGCTGACTTTCACAATGGATGAATTTAAAGAACTCATTAAAACTTCAAAAAAAAATCTCTTAACACATTACATAAATTTGGTCATAGCACTACATCGGAATTCTATTAACATGCTTTTATCATCTACACCTCAAATAGAAACAAAAGTTTCGTTCTTTTACCTTGGATTGTGAAGAGGTCCAATCTCAACGGCATTATCCCTCCTTAACTTCACCAGTTCATGCCGTAAAGAACGAAAAATTGGAAAAAGACGTCGTAAGCGTACGTGGAGACGGAGTGGTAGAAATGATGTGAAATAGGAATTTGGTTGGTATAAGTGTAATCTTAATAAATGAGGTGTTATATATATGTAAAATGAGAGGTATATAGTGATGTGTATGTAAATTTCCCTTTAGTAAATTCTGGTGTTAAATTTTGAAAATTATTTGGTATGATAAATGTTAAATTCTATTAAATTTAGAGAATTTGTTTATCAATAGATTTCAGGATTTAGCAATTACGGATTTAAATGGGAATAGATAACGCTGAATTACATCAATAAGTTAGTTATAAATTTAATGTGTATTTAGGAATTTAATATGATTTGAATTTAATTTACGTGATAATTATGAGTAGCTTATTAATTTTAAATTTAATTATCTTTGATAAATTATAATGATAAATAATATAATTAAAAGCTAGATAAATGATTACTAACTATCAAATTAATTATTTAGAAGTTAATTATATATTATTTATTATATTACTAATTAATGATGTGGTTAATTATTTAAGTATTAAACTAATTTAATGACTATTATACTACTAATAAGTATAATAACCAACAAATTACAAATATTAATTAAACTAAATTAATGATGATTATGATATTAATTATTTAATTAAACTAAATTAAATTACTTAATTATACTACTAATTATATCATAAATCTAATTAATTATTAATATTTAAGTTATAGTAATAAGTATGTCGTATAGGGTTTGTTTTTTTATTCTTCACTTTTCATCTTCGCCATTTCTCCGTGGCTGCTTCGGCTACGCGTGCTTTGCATGACATGAGCTTGCTCGCTGTGTAGCTAACCATCTTCGTCTACTCCTTCCTTCAAGATGGGTGCTAGCTTGCTTCGAAAGCTTGTAAATCCCGTAGTCCCTAAATCCATAAATCCACCGAGCGACGGGATTTAGTAAATTCTGAATTCACGCTACGCCATAAATATGTAAATATGGGATTTACGAGGGATTGGAATTTATTGCACTTTCAAACCCTGTTTGGGAGGATTTACCATAAATTTAATGTGAATCACGCACCAAATAAGACACCAAACAACCCTTAAGAGGCTTCGATTGCAATTTATGCATACTTTTCTTTTATTTTATTTAAAGTAATAAGGTCAAAATGTGTCAATGATTCATGTTGGTATATAACCCGAAATTGAATCCAATCAATTTGAAAGTAATATGTTTGTTAAATGGAACAAAAAATTGAATTCAAATTCAACCCGCTCGCAACCCAATGTCGACCTCATAACCCATTATAATTAAAAAAGGTATCTTATTAATCATAGATTTTAGGTCAATTTATATAAAAAATAATATTATACCAACAAATAAAATTAATTAAGAAAAATTATTAAACGAGTCAATTTCAAGTCAAAACTAGGTTGGCATGTCAACTTGAACATGACCCGTTTAATAAACAGTAATGCACGACCCGAATCTGATCTCATTTATTAAACGGGTCAACCCGAACCTGATCTCATTTATTAAATAGGTCAACCTGAACCTAAAGTTTTTTAGTCGGTTCAGTTGGGTTGGTGAGTCGGATCATTCATTGACACCCCTAAAATGTAGTATATACAATGGGTGAATTTTTTTTTAGGGCTTGAATGTTGGTCAGTAGAAGGTTAAGCATAATATAAGTATTACAGAGATAAGTATGCTCAAATGTATGAGTAATTTTACACATAAAGATTGAAAACGAAATTAGTATGTCCATGAAAAGGTTGGAGCAGCTCCAATGGTAGATAATATTAGAAAGAGTCTCCTTAGATGATTTGGTCACATAAAATGTCAGCTAGGAAAGTAGATGTATAAGATATGGCATATGTTAAGAAAGTTAGAGTTAGACTTAAAAGACAAAATTAGAAAGTATTAGAAATGACATTTTTTATTAGATTTAAATGAGAAGTTAGACTCTTTATGACAATGAAAGAAAGGATTTATGTAGTCGACCCCACGGAATGAGATAAAAGCTTAAGGTTGTTGTTATTGTTTGTTTTAATTAAATTTCTAAATTTTTATTAACGTATAAATATTATATGATACTCCCATACAAGATGATGTGCATAGGTTGAGCCTTCATAATTTTTTCATTTGCATCATTTATGGTTCTATTTTAAAAACTTATTTACATATTTACCAATTTTAAAATATTATTTAACGATCTATTATCTCTATGCCATAATAAGGGTCACTTACATTTTGTTATAGTTTCACCCTCTTAACAACAACAACAACAACAACAACAACAACAACATCAAGCCTTTATCCAACTACTTGAGGTTGGCTACATGAATCCTTTTTCTCCATTGTGTCCTGTTAAGAGTCAAATTCTCATTTAAATATAATGATGAAAGGTCATTTCTAATATTTTCTAAACAAGTCTTTTTAGGTCTATATCTACTTTTCTTAACATAGTTCAAATATAATATATATACTCTCCTAACAAGGTCATTGGAATGCCAACATTTTACATGACCAGACCACCTAAGGCGACTCTCTTTAATCTTATCTATCACTAGCACTACTCCAACCTTTTCTTGGATATGTTCGTTCCATATCCTGTCTCTAAGAGTAAGTCCAATCATCCATCTGAGCATCCTCATCTTAGTAACACTTAATATTATGCTTCTCTTTTTAATGGCTAACATTCTGCGCCTTAAAGCATTGCATGTCTCACCAACATCTTATAAAATTTTTTCTTAAGATTGAGTGATACTTTTCTATCACATAACAAATATAAAGCATTCCTCCACTTCAATCATTCAGCTTGAATTATATTAATAATATCCCCATCTATTTCACCATCACTATGAATAGTAAACCTAATGTATCTAAAATGAATTCATTTATTAATGAGTTGATCGCTCAAAGTCACAAACCCTCCACTAGATCTATTACCACTAAAATTACACTCCATGTATTCAGTTTTAGATCTACTCAAACAAAAACCTTTAGATTTTAAGGTTGACCTCCATAATTCGAGTTTACCTTTAACCCCCTCTCTAGTCTTATCAACAAGAAGAATATCATCACTAAAATGCATACACTAAGGTACATCATCTTGCAAATATATAGTGAGAGCATCCATGAATAAATTTAAAAAAAAAAAAAAGGGCTTAAGGTTGATCCTTGATATAATCCAAGAGAAATAGGAAAATATTTGGTCAAACCACCATGTGTTTGAGCACAAGTAACATGTCATACATACACATCCTTAATGACTTGAATAAAAGCATCATTAACTCCTTTCTTTTCTAGAACTCTCCATATAACTTCTCTTGGAACTTTATCATATGCTTTCTCTAAATCAATAAATATTATATATAAATCCTCCTTATTCTCTCTAAACTTCTCCCTATTTCGGTTGGGTTACATCAAGGATCAGCCTTAAGCCCATATCTTTTTGCTTTAGTCATGGATGTTCTCACTAGACATTTGCAAGAGGATGTACCTTGGTGTATGCTTTTTGCTGATGATATTCTTCTTGTTGATAAGACTAGAGAGGGAGTTGAAGGTAAACTTGAATTATGGAGGTCAACTTTAGAGTCTAAAGGTTTTCGCTTGAGTAGATCTAAAACAGAATATATGGAGTGCAATTTTAGTAGTAATAGACCTAGTGAGGGGATTGTGACTTTGGGCGATCAAGTCATTAATAAGAGTACACATTTTAGATATCTTGGATCTATTGTTCAGAGTGATGGTGAAATAGATGGGGATATTATCAGCAGAATTCAAGTTGGATGGTATCTGTAATATTACCAATTATTCTTTAAAGAAAAAGAAATAAAAAGTTTTTTTTTTTTTTTTGGGAAGTTAAAAAAGCTTTTTTTTTTTTTTTGAAAATTAGAAGAAAAAAAAACTTACTCGGGTCAGTGGTGATCTGGACCGCTAGGCCATTGAAGTAACAAGAACCGCCGGTACTCCGGAACTGCTGCCAGTACGAATTGAATGCGTATTTCGCATGCGCCGCCACCGTATTAGGCTGAAAGCATTTCCCCCCTGTCTGAATAGCCGCACAAGTGCCGTTACCCTGCCCGCATGCGTAGCTCAGCGCGGCCGCCACAGCCGTCAAGTTCAAGCCGCCGTTGGTCTCCAGCACGCACCAAAGCTTCCCTTTAAAAGGCTCATTGTTCGTCGCCGGAGGAAGCGGTGGGTAGCTCGCCTCTGGCCGCCGCCCCTTCAGATCCACCTCGTACACCGCCGTCCCGTTCGGGTACAGAAGCCCCCAGTGCCGCTCCGTCCCTGGTCCAGTTTTCAGATCCTCGTTATACAGCGAGAAAACAAATACAGGAATCGCTGCCGCCGGCCTCGCCGGCGTCCGTAGCCCGCGCTGCTCCGCAACCCGTATCGCCAGTTTGCGGTTGTAGATCGCCGCGTTATGCACATTCGCTCCTATCTCATCCAGATCGCCGGCATTCGGCCACCCTGTCTCGGCCAGTCCCAGCCGGACCTCGGCAAACCCTTCAGCGGCTATTGCGGCGGCCATCGCGTCGAGCATCTGGTCCAATAGATTCGTGTAGGTGAGTCCGGTCACCGGATCGTGGTAGTATAAGCTGGAGTTCCCCTGGAAAAGGGCGTAGTCGATTGAAATGGAATTGGGGTTTTCAGACCATGGGAAATAGGGATAAGCGTCGATCATGAAATAGGAGGAAGTTCGCCGGAGGAATTCGAGCATGGGGCGGATGATTAGGACGGCAATGTCGGACCGGAAGCGGCCGGAAGAAGGGGGGAAGGAGGATTGGAGGACGTCCATGGCATGGGGAGTGCTGACCTTGATGCCGTGAAGGGAGAATAATCTGATGGAGCGATGAAGGCGAGTCATCGCCGGGACGAGAAAAGGCCAGAAAGTCGAGTTCGATGCGTAATTGGACAGGATCTCGTTGCCGACTAGTAGGAAGCGCAGGCGTACGGAGCCATAGAAGGGGACAATGTTGGATGAGACCCAGGCGTCGGCGGCGGACTGGTTGGTGCCGATGGACGGGAGAAGGCCGTTGGGGACCATGACAGAGACTACGAGGTTTGAGCCGCTGAGGGCGCGGAGGATCTCCGGGTTCGCGTCATAAATCTTAACTGCAGAGGAGCGTAGAGAGTGCATGAGAGCGACGGAAGCCTCAGGGGAAGGAAGGTTGTCGCCGAGTTGGCCGTAGTCTACGCCGAGACCGTGGAAGAGGACCTTGGAGGCCGATTGAACTGCAAGGAGCACAGGGGAGTGTTAATGCTTCGCGTAAAGTAGAAGGAAATGAGGGAGTTCTTGTTACCTGGGGAGAAGAAGACGAACGTTAGTAGGAGGAGGAGGAGGTGAACGGCTTCCGCCATTTTTCCCGGCGGCGGAGGCTGAGCTGCTGAGGTCTCAAGTCGGTGCTTCTTGAGCTAACCGTTAGGCAGGGAGAAGAAAGCCCTGAAGGTATTTTATAGTCAAATAATGGGGACAGTATTCCACGTGTCATATTTTAATTGATTAAGGGGTTTTATTGGTCGCTGACGCGGCTATACTAATTAAATAATTTTGTGACTTTTGTAAAGTTGGATTATTTTGACTGTGTGCAATAAAAGATAATTTATTTATTTAGGCATTTAGTAACGAATAAAAATCGTTGCCGACCCGGAAAACAATTGTATTTTGATGCGTATTAATTTTTTATTTTATTAAAAAATAAAAGAGAGTGTTTGTATAAAATGAACTTCTTCTTAAAATATTTATTTATTTATGGAAGAAAATAAATTTATTGAGACAAGATGAAGGATGTCGTGACATGCATTTTGTTGTGGTAGATATGACATGGAGATGAAAAACAAAGCACAAAAATAAAGAACCAAAGAGAACATAAGGTTTCTTAGCTTGTAAACGATAATAGTATTCTATATTATGATTTCTTCTTCTCACAAGGTTTTGATATATATCCTACGGACACTCACTTGCTAAAAACAGAAAAACAAAGAGCCTCTAATTAGTTATATTAGCAGTAGAATAAGAGTAGTGGAGGTGGTATTGTAAAACGGGGCATGTGGCCGATCATGTGTGCTTGCGGGCTATATGGGATAATGTGATTCCACATCTCATTTAGTCTAAACAAAAAGGACATCATATTGCAATATTTGAGGTATATTAAGGTCTCGTGTGTGTCGGCTTTCTTACTACTTCTTAAAACAACTTCTTAATATAAAAATTAAAATATATGTACTAGAAAGCTGTTTTAAGCAGTAGCAAAAAAGACACCCCAAACAAAGCCTAATACTTGAGATCAATGTACATCTTTCTATGAAGAAATTAAATCACTTGTTCATGACTTTTACTTGAATTTGAATATGTGTCTCTCTATGACCTTCCTTTTTATGATATTTCATTTTCATATATTTTAAAAGGGTTTTGTAGCATCCATAATTCCAATCTCTCTCATAATCTCCTCATTTAGGACATTTTTCCTCTCCAAACATCCATCAATTCTTCCTCAACCATTTCCCTTCAATGTAGCATGAGATAGCGATGTAGGATAAATGCATACTAATGTAAAATGAATATAAAGTAATGTGAATGCATAATTATGAAAGATAACATCATCGATTCAATTTTTTTTTTTACAATGAAATGCTAAGATTTAGAGAGATTATGTCCAACTTAAATTTAGCACTTTGAAAATTAACCTATGTTCCCTTTTTACATTGTTATGGATTTCAAAAGCCTATCCTCTAGGTAACCTCACACGAGGAGATAGTACAAGAAATCTTTTGTCTCAAACATGACACATTTATAATGAAAAAATGAATAGAACTTAGCAGAACCGATCGCGAGGCGGCTAGGGTTTTCCTTCTCCCTCGTTTTCTGCTGATTCTCCTCCCCTCTTTTTCCTCCGGCGTTGCCGAAGGGATCTTCTTCTTCCTTCAACATGGACGCAGCTTTATTGCCATATGATTTTCCACCACTAGTTATGTCTTCAGGTGTTCAGGTCAGTCCGATCACTGAGAGTTGGAACAAAGTTTTTGAGCCGGAAAACTCCTCTAAAAAATCTCTAAAGTTCTCCCATTTCCCATCGGAACCGGATATTATCCCTTTTTCTGGGGAGAAGCTTTCTAAATGAGGTGAAGACTTGAAGCTTTGTCTTGTTGGTTATTCCATAGGGAGGCGACCCTATTACGAGACCTTGCTGGGAGCAATAAAAAAAAACATGGAGCTTAAAAGGTTTGGTGCAGCTCTTGTCCCTTAATGATGGATTTTTTCTTCTCTGTTTCTCTTGTGTGGAGGACTTCGATATGGTTTGGTTGAGAGGTGTGTGGTTCCTGTTGGGAAAACCCTTTGTTCTTCAAAAGTGGCACCCGAAGTTCAAACCTAAGAGGGAGGACTTTGCTAGGGTCCCTATCTGGGTGAAGATCCATGACCTTCCCCTTGCCTGTTGGAACTCAGAGGGGATTTCCTGGATAGCTAGCAAAATTGGAGTTCCGGTAGCTGCCGACAACCTGACCGAGCTGAAGACCCGTCTTACCTATGCTCAGGTATGTGTGCTTGTTGATAGCAATGCATTATACCCTGAGGAGATTAAAGTTTCGCTGGATGGGGACGTCGTTAGCTTGAAAGTTCAATATGAATGATGATCATTCCCTTGTGAGCATTGTAAGTCTTTAATGCATTTCTCTTCTTCTTGTTCGTCCAAGCCAGAATCGGGTTCTAATCCACAAAGTAAGGAGCTGCCTAATAATCGGGGCAGAAGTTTTAGCAGAAAACCTCATTTCATGCCTCACTACAGGCCTCAGAATATTTTGAAACCCCTTGTTTCCAATGTAGTGCCTCCGGATCCTACTACCAATAATCCTGTACCAGCCACGGAATATCTGCAGAACCTTCCCAATGCTACTAGTCCTCTATACCAACCGCATTCTCCCTCTCCTTAGAAATCTTTGGTTCATACTGTGATTACTACTCAGGATGCTCTTCCTGAGTTAGGGGATGCCATTATTCCGGGAATTCCTAACCTAAATTCTCCTAATGATGCTGCTTTTTCATCTTCTAACAACCTAATTTCTCATTCTCCAACTTTAGGGAAGAATTTCATCTCTCCCAATAAGTTTGATGTTCTAAATTCTAAAGGTTCTGTTAATGAGCAAAATGTTGTTTTAGGCAACTCTACAGATGACTGTCTAGTGGTTGTAGGCGTTGTTGATAAGGAGAAGAAACAAAAATTAGCTAAAAATATTATTCAGCTTCCGTCGACTTCTACGTCCAAAAAACCTGCAAGGGGGAAGCAGACCAAAAAACCTCAACAAAATCTGAATTCCTAATGTCTTTTCCTCCCATAGCGTCTTGGAACATTAGGGAATTTAATCGCCCTGATAAAGTTTTATGCTGTAAGCGTCTCATTGAGTCTTTTAAGCTTGACTTGATCTGTATTTTGGAGAACAGGATTCATGTTCAGTCTTGACATGAACAGTTTTTTGAAACTTCTCACTCCCTCTTTGCTAATGAGGCTAGTTGTCATAATTTTGCTCTTTCTACATCGGGGAGGATTTGGATGAAGTGGAATGCTTCTAAGATTAACTTCAACCCCAATCTTGTCACTTCTCAGTTGATTTCTGGTATGATTTCGGTGGCCAATCAACCTCTTTTTCAGCTTTCTGTTGTATATGCTTCCAATTGTAGCTCTGACCGAAAGGATCTGTGGAATTCTATAGCACATGTGGTTCCTGCGAGTCATCTGCCCTGGGCTATTATAGGGGACTTTAATTGTTGTAGGTATGCCTCCGAAAAGTTGGGGGGTACCTTCATCATGCAATCTGCTCTGAAGGATTTTAATGATTCGATCTTCCACAATGTTCTTGTGGACTTACATTCTATTGGGTGTAAATATACCTAGTTCAATCAACGTTTGGACAGTCTCATTCACATTAAAATGGATAAAGTTCTTGTAAATGGGGGCTGGATGAGTAATTTCTCGAAATCCTATTGCTCTTTTCAAAGTCTTTCTTGTTCGGATCACAGTCCCATTATTCTTCATCCTGGGAGCTCTTTTCAGGTTCATCACAGATTCCTTTTCAAAAGCTACTGGACCAAAATTGATAGCTATTAGTCGATGTTTTTAGAGGTCTTCACAATGCCTTGCCTTGGTAATCCTCTTTCTCATCTCTGTAACTCTCTTAGGCCGTTCAAAAAAGGCATTAAAAAAGAAACTTGGGCTTCCTCTACCTGTATTTCTAGACATTTGGACTATCTACACAGTAACCAAAGCTTTTTGCTGGAGAATTTGCACGTTGATCCTACTAACTCTGATCTTAATCATTCTTACAGGTTATGCAATGCTGAATTAGCTAAATTCACGTTCATTCAAGCCTCATGGATTATTCAAAGAGCCAAGGTAAATTGGCTTAAATTTGGGGAAGATGATCTCAAATTTTTTTATGAAAAAATTAGATGTAGAATGGGCAGTAACAAATTGGTTGTCAACTTGATTACTTGTAATCCCTCCTCTACCCGTGCTGATGTGATTACTACTTTTTTGAAGTATTTTCAAGATCTCTATAACCCTTTTCCTCCACCAAATCTGGAATTGGAGAGTTTTCCTATTGGGATTGTCTTACCCGATAACTATGCATTTTCTATTGCTTCTAATGTGTTGGATGAAGAAATCAAAGTTGCGGTTTTTAAGGGGTCTTCTAAATCAGCTCCAGGCCCTGATGGATTTAACTTTCTTTTTTACAAAACCGGGTGGCACATTTTTGGACCGGTTGTTTGCAAAGCTATTAGATCTTTCTTTTTAAAAGGTTACTTACCGAATGGTGTCAAAGCAACCGCTCTTGGTTTAATCCCAAAACATAAAAATGTTGTCAACATATCTGATTATAGACCTATTGCTCTTTGTAACGTTTTGTACAAAATCATTGCAAAGGTAATTGCTGCTAGATTAAAATCGGCTATGAGCTATATCTTCAAGGATAATCAAGCTGGGTTTGTTAAATCTAGAGTCTCCACCGATAATATTTTGCTTGCTAGTGATATTCTTTCCAGTGCGGGTAAAAGAAGATGAGCTAATATCTTTTGTGCTAAATTAAACATCAGGAAGGTTTTTGACTCTGTCTCTCGTGAATTCTTGCTTGCTAGGATCATTCAGAAAGGCTTTCCTAGTCTTTTTATCACCTGGATTAAAGCTTGCATTTCAGATGTCAATTTCTATATTGTTCTCAATGGTGCGCTTGAAGGTTATTTTCCTACTACTGCTGGGCTTAGGCAGGGATGCCCTTTAAGCCCTTATCTTTTTTGTCTGGTTATGGATGCTTTTTCTAATCTACTTGAGGAAAGAGGTTTCAAAGGTATCTCTTCTAAAAACTTCACTCTCTCTCTCATTTGCTCTATGCAGATGATGTTCTCATTTTTGGAGAGGCCACCTAAGAAAATTGCAATAAGTTGGTTTCCATTTTAAGAGACTTTGCTTATGTTTCGGGGCTTCATGTTAATTATGACAAAAGTGTTATTATGTTTCCTAAACACCAAAGCAATCAACTTGAAATTTGTCAAGCTCTCTCTATTCATAGCATAGCAAGCAAAATCACTTAT